ACCAAACTGTCTTACTTGTATCTTTAAAGCTCTTGAAGATCTTCTGACAAAAGGGTTTTCTTTTGCGTGTGGGAATAGAGGCTTGCAAAGCAGTTAACTATTTTGGAGTCGGTGGTAAGCAATTTTGCTTTTTAAGCGTTTTGGTTCTATCTTGGGTCTTTCCTTGATGTTTTGGAGGTTACCCAGGAATTTGAAAGTGCGTTGGCTATCACTTTGATAGTTGATATTAGAAATGAACTTGTCGAAGGAAGTCCGTTTAGCTTGTAAGATGGCTTGCCTTAGGACAGCTGATTGTCGTCTCCAGGTTTGTACGTCTTCCGTTCTTCCAGTCTGATCAGCAGTGTTGCGAAGGGCGTCCCGCTTTCTTTTCAGTTCCACAAGGTGTTTAGACCAAAACACTCGATAGTGTTTAGTCTTGCCTCGGAGAATAGTTTTCTTTGCACATCTGAACATAATATTCGTGATATCAGTGCAAAGTTTGTCACGATGTTGGTTGAAGTTGAGGGGACTTGTGTGAAGTTCATTCTCTAAAAGATTTGTGAATCTAGGCCAGTCAGCCTTCTTGAAGTTCCATGATAGCTTAGTTAGCACTTTCGTTGTCATGCTGTTGCTGCTGATGTTAATACTAACAATGACTGGTTTGTGACCAGAATCAGGATCGTCAATTATTTTGCGGCGTGTAAGCTCACTGATGTCGCTTGAAGCCAAGAGTAAGTCAGGAGTTGTTCTAGTTCCATTGTAGTGCAGATATGTAGCCGGATCCTCATTGCTGTAAATAAGTTCCAGAGAGTTGCTGTTTACCATGTCTTCAATTTCCTTTCCAGCAATGTTTGTATCCTTGTAGTCCCATCTGGTGGAATGGGCATTGAAGTCTCCTAATACTACAGTTTTGTGTGAGATGTTCAGAAAGTCAAAGTTTGGACAATTCTGGGGTGGAATATAGACTACATATATCTTGAAGTGATTTTGACATTTCCAAGCATTTAATCTGATTATTTCACACATTTCTTGTTTCGAGCCCATACTCTTGATTAGATCGTAATGTAAGGTGAGGCCATCTTTTACTCCAGTTAGAATTCCATTTGCAACTTGCCGGTATTTATTAGGTTGGCAACTAAGTCATTGCCGATTTCAAATAAGAAGGCAAATTCGGAATTTTTGTTTAAAAATATAACTTTATTCAGTTAGATATTGGCCGTTCTTGTCGATGACCTTTTCCATCGCTCTGGCAGAGTAAAAATTCCCCGTTCGTAAAATGTCTGGTTTTTGCTGTTAAAAAACTGAATTAGGTGTGATCCGACATCATCCGCGTTGTTAAAAATTTTACCATTTAAAGAGTTTTGCATGGAACGAAACAAATGGTAATCCGAAGGCGCAAGGTCAGGGCTATATGGTGGGTGTGACAAAACATCCCNGGCAACTAAGTCATTGCCGATTTCAAATAAGAAGGCAAATTCGGAATTTTTGTTTAAAAATATAACTTTATTCAGTTAGATATTGGCCGTTCTTGTCGATGACCTTTTCCATCGCTCTGGCAGAGTAAAAATTCCCCGTTCGTAAAATGTCTGGTTTTTGCTGTTAAAAAACTGAATTAGGTGTGATCCGACATCATCCACGTTGTTAAAAATTTTACCATTTAAAGAGTTTTGCATGGAACGAAACAAATGGTAATCCGAAGGCGCAAGGTCAGGGCTATATGGTGGGTGTGACAAAACATCCCGACCCAGTTCCAATAATTTTTGCCGAGTAACCAAAGATGTGTGGGGCCTTGCGTTATCATGATGGAAAACAACACCCTTCCCATTTCATAATGCCGGCCGCTTATCTTCAATTGCATCCTTCAGTTTTTCGAGTTATTCAACATACACATTTGAATTTATCGTTTGGTTCTGCGGCATGAGTTCAAAATACAAAATTCCTTTGTGATCCCACCACACTGACAGCATAATCTTTTTTTGGTGAATCTCTGCTTTTGATACTGTTTGGGCTGGTTGATCTTGCTTCACCCATGATCTCCTGCGAGTAACATTGTTATAAACTATCCACTTTTCGTCGCCAGTAACTGTTTAGGTTCTTCAGAAATGGATCATTCTCATTGCGTTTCAGTAGCGGCGAATCACAGATGCTAATCCGTTGCGTCAAATGAATTTCCTTTAACTGGTGAGGGATCCGTAAATCAAGTTTCTTCACATAACCAAGGGTTTTTAATTTTTTTTCAATGCATGTATGCGACACATTGAGCTTCTCTGCAATATCTCGTGTTGTGCTGTGACGATTTGAATCGATAATGGCCTTGATATGGGTTTCATCCACTTCGACTGGGCGGCCAGATCGTTGTGAATTTTTCAGTGAAAAATCACCGGAACGAAATCTTTCTAACCAATTTCGACACTGCCTTTCTTTTAAGGCTTCATCTTCATATACGGCACATAACTTCTTTTGTGCTTGCGATGCGTTCTTGCCTTTTCGGAAGTAATACAATAAAATGTGTCGGAAGTGCACGTCCTGTTCTTTCATTTTTCAATTGGGATAAAAACAAAACTAAAGAACTAAACAAAAAAAATTTTTTACTAATTAACCTAGAAGCCCATACAGTAAGAAAAAAGTATAAATTAGATGCTCTGGCCACGTTAACAATACAAAAGAAAGTATAGAGTGAATCTGTCAACAAAAAACGCAATGACCTAGTTGCCAACCCAATAGGTAGAAGGTACAGGGTGTAACGTGGGAATTGGTAGTACTACAGTTTGTCATCCGAAATGTTTGCTTCTATAATTGTGAAAGTGTCTACATCATAGGTTTATAGGATTTTCTGGACATGGATCTTTTTGTTCGGTGACATCCCTCCAGCATTCCACTGGAGGATCTGAAGACGCTGTGATTCGCCGTGACGAGGACGATTTCTCTTATAGCCTTTTTTCTAGTTAATCATAATAAATCAAAGTCAAATCAAATGTCGAGTGATATAATTTTTTGCAGTACGAATATACATTGTTCAGGGTGGAGGTAAGTCTATCGCGCACCCCAGGTCCGAAAATATATATTCTAGAATAAAAAACTGTTAAGCATAACTATACCGGTGTCACGATTATTTATTTAGGGTAATGTGCTTAATATCATTTCATGTCGTTTCAGGTGAGATTCGATATTCACTGATTTTATGCTAATCATTAATCGTTTAGGAATATCTTCACATAGAATAATTTAAGTGTTCAAACTTAGAAGAATCTCTGAAATTATTAAAGCATTAAATTGATTTGTTCTTTTGTAATCTATAGCCCTAACAAGAGTAATACAGAGTGATGCAATTCTCCTGAGATTTGTATATTTTGAAAAATTCTTTATTTAGAATTCTGTACACATCACCTTGGGAAAAACATATATATATAATCGAATTTCATACAATACCCATTTATTAAAGCTAGAAGTAGATATATTTCTACTAGTTATTAAATCTCTTTTCAGGTGTAAAATTGAGGTAATTGATTAAATCAATTGTTAATAGTTATTAAAATTTATGTCAAAAGTATTCAATTATTAAACATGTCTGCAGGGTGCATAAGTACAATAAATGCTATACACTTGACCTACGTTTGATTTTTCCACAGAATTGACAAATTTCAACGCATTTCGAGAACCTAGCCATATTAAAAATATTTCATCACAGAGATTGCTAAGAAAAGATAGGGGCCTATTTCTATAGCAGTCTGATACACATGACCTCAGAATACCCATGTTCCTTAAACAATTTTCTTTTAAGGCACTGGGTATGCATGCTTATTTTCGATGCGAAATAGAATGGTTGATGTGATTTCATGAACTATATCACTGTCCTGATATTGTCTGATTCCTTCCTGCTAATTGAAATGAAATTACTTCAAATAACTAACTTGGTGTAATTTATTAAAATTATTTTCGATTTATCACTACATAATTTTGAGCAGTGCGTATATCTAGAAAATGCGATAAAAAATAATTTATATGTTGTAAACTTTGCAGTAATTTAAATGATGAGGGTTTTTAAAACTGAGAATGTGAAAAATTTCGTATTTACAAAATGACATCAAAGTTACATGAGGTTTTAGCAAATTGGAATTCTTCATTATGTGAATGAACGCCTTCCATTCTTTCTATACTTACTGAAATAATTTTAAAGTTCGTTGAAATCAGTCACCCCTGAATAATGCTGGCACTTAGTCATCATTAATTAATAAATCTTCTAGTTTGATACCTTCAGCCCTACATTGATCGATGATGCTCTAATATTCACAAACAATGATTAAATCCTAGCCAACTTGGCTTCTTTATGAAGATATCTTAGGAATTCTGATATTCCGTCCAGAATCTCCCACAAAAATTCACGATATTTATGACAATTTGAAAAGGTAAATTCTAAAGTCATCGTAAAATATTAATTAAATAGAGGAATATATGCGACTTTAGAATCCTCTCGCGTTGAAGAGAAGAGTCGGAGTGGCATTTCGATTGTCTTTTCAGGTTTTGACTTTCTTTGAAAAGTATGTTATCGTTCTGAAGGTCCCATATAAGGACCCTTTTTACTCTCTGTTCACAGAGCAAAAGTTTGAATTAAGACCATCTTATGAAAGGAATCATCCAATATCCCAAAACATTAAAACAAATTTTGAATTCGAAATTATGACCACGTATGTTTGTTGAAACTTATATATTTTTTAACAAATTAGGCCATTTTTCTTACCATTTCAATTATGAACTTCGATTTTTTCATCCTCTTTTCTAAATAATTCGTTTTTTTCTATTGATTTTATTACGATAATTATCGGTTATAATTAATTATAAGCATTTGCACGCAGCTGAATTCAAGGTGATGTTCTCTTGACAGTTAGAGAATTCTGTTGCGTCGACATTTCAAAAATATTTCGCAAGATTTCCTCATTTAAAAATCTGCAATTTTTCTGAGGAAAAACAACAAATGCCTGCCAAATGATGTAAATGTGCCTCGATTATCGAAAGGAGAATTGCAATTTTTCTCTAATTCTTTTTATTTCATTCTTCGTGGAAGCTCAAAATGTCCATTGAAAGAGAACATTTTAAAAAATTGAAGTAAACAAAAAGGTTTGAATCAAAAATTTACAAACAATATAAATTTAAACTACCCAATGAGCTTTCACTTTTATATTAATATATTTTTATCAAGCCATTTCATAGCCGAGAAATTAAACAGTTTTAACAAATTTTAATATAAATACGTGAAATATTAATTATTGCAATTTAATATCTGTTAGTTTAAATTTACATCTGAGACATTTTAACACATTTTCGCTAAATAGCTAAATTCGTTTCAGAATCTATTTTATTTTCCTAATGATATTCATTCATTTTATTCATATTAATTTCATATTTTCTCCTTTATACTAAGGTTATAACAAAAAAATTAGATTTACACTACGCAAACCATAAAAAGGGTTGTTGCAAATAAAATAATGTATGTAAAATTAGGACAAAATAGAAAACTACTAAACATTGCATTAAAGTTTTTTATTATATTTCTAATTAATGTATTCCTGTATCACTTTCAAATTTTGAGAAATGAGTGATGTTTTACTTGTTTCTGAATTGATTGAATTTAAAATAGATACTAGCTTTCGCGAATTTCATTTGCAAAGTTGCAAAATAACTATTCCTCCAATACAAATCAAGTGGATTTCTTTAAACTTATGAATTCGAATTCAAGTTGCACAGCAGAGTTATAAATAATTGGCCGATTTGCTTAAAAGTTTCAAAATATTTATTTCAAATGGCAGGCGTTTCGATAGCTATTAATAACCATTTAACTGACTTCGGGCTTCACAGAGGGTAGGTTCATCAAAGTGGCATAAAGTCGAGGGGTGGGAAACAGAAGAGCGATTCACAAATGTAAAAGAGGCAGACAGACACAAAGGTAGAGAAAAAGTTAAGATGAGTACTGTGGCAGGGGTCGAATATGACAAGCAGTCGGGCCATTGTAATTTCAAGTCAGGAGTCAACTACCGGTTAATAGACTT